ATTGTTGTTGATTTTGTGTTTGCTGAGTCTTTACATTTTTCTAGTTTTTTATTTTGACTTGTAGGATTATTAGTTTACTTTGTGATTACCTTAATATTTACCCCTATTTTTCTAAGTTTATACCAGTCTTTTATTTCTTTATATCGCCTTGACTTCCTTTCCATATGAAAAATCTATGTCTACATTTTTTAGTCCTTCTTTTTTGTTTTAATGTTGTCATTTTTTACATTTTGACATCTGTTTCCCTATTTTCAGTGTTTTTGCTTTGATTTACTTTTGTGACTTCCCTATCTGGGTTGATATCTGGTTGCTCTGTCCTATGTTCTAGTCTTGGGTTGTTATCTGATGTTACTGATTTTCTACCTGGAGGACTCCCTTTAGTATTTCTCATAATTTTGGTTTGGTTTTTGCAAATTCCCTAAACTTCTGTTTATCAGGAAATGCCCTAATTTCGTCATCATATTTGAGAGACAGTGTTGCTTCATATATAATCCACTTGCCGGCATGGTTTCTGCTGAGCTTATTCTTATTGACTCTCCTTTGTAGATTAATTTTTGTTTATCCCTAGCTGCTCTTAAAATTCTCTATCTTTGGTTTTGGCAAGTTTGATTATATGTCTTGGTGACTTTCTTTTGGGATCTACCTTATGTGGGGTTTGATGAGCATCTTGGATAGATATCTTGTCATCTTTCTCGATATCAGGGAAGTTTTCTGACAACAAATCTTCAAGAATTCTCCCTGTATTTTCTGTTATCCCCCCCCCTCCCCGTTCTGGTACTCCAATCACTCATAGGTTATTCCTCTTGATAGAGTCCCACATAATTCTTAGGGTTTCTTCATTGTTTTTTAATCCTTTTATCTGATTTTTCCTCATATAAATTGGTGTCAAGTGCTTTATCTTCAATCTCACTAATTCTGACTTCCATTACCTCAATTCTGCTCCTATGACTTTCTGTTGAGTTGTCTAATTCCAAAATTTTATTGTGAATCTTCTGGATTTCTGATTGCTGTCTCTCTATGGATTTTTGCAGCACATTAAATTTGTCATGCTATTCTCTGATCTTTCAATTTCCTCTATTGAGTGTTCTGAGTTTTGCTTAATTTCCTTCCTAATTTCTTGAAGAGTTCTGTATATTAATCTTTTGTATTCTGCCTCCAGTAATTCCAAGAAATTTTCCTCCTCTGGAAAATTTCTAGATTCTTTATTTTGGGAGCTTGCAGAAGCCATCATGGATTGCCTCTTTATTTGATTCGATATTGACTGTTGTCTCCAAGCCATCAATAAGTTATTCTATTTATTTATTTTATGTTTGCTTACTGTGTCCTAGCTTCTTGTTTTGTGTTTTGATATGCCCAAATAGGCTGCTTGTATGAGCTATTTTGATTACTGGCACCTTTGAAGATCTAATGTCCTGTCACCAGGTAGTTAGATCTGTTACTAGGTATGTGAGCTCAGGAGTCCGCCCACTCCCCCTGTATGGATTTCACCTCAGGTGCCCAGGTAGACATTCACCAAGAGTGTGGTGTAGCCTCTCACCTACAGTCCTAGACAGGCATGGGTGATTGATGTATGCACAGGCATCTGTCTGCAGCAGGGGGACACACTCTGAGCAAGTCATGGGGCTGACGGCCACCCCCAAGTGACCAGGAAGAAGGCATGTCCCTGTTCCCTAGAGCATGTAGGTTGGTGGGTTTTGCAGCTGGACTATGAGCACCCAATGCTGTTGGCTGTAAGGACTAGGGGGCACCACTTATTCATGGGCCCCTATTGCTGGTGGCTAGGTAGCATGAGTGGAGCCACCAGTCCTCAGGCCCTGATGTGGGTAAGTGAAGACCCTGCATAATGAGCAGAGCAGTGTCAAATGTCACAAACCCACCATTTCACAGCTGCAAGAGTTGAAGTTAGAATTCTGGTGTATACCCTGTTGTACTGTGGTAATGAGGACCTACGCTGTTGAGATGGGCCCACACAAGTCTATGCAGGGGGAAAGGCACTCCAATTCCATCGATCCCTTATGCCTGTGCCTAGGCAAAGGAGCTGTGCCTACCCTGGGTTCCTGGCTTGGGGGAGCCAGCAGTTTATTTTTCCCCGTTTGTTAATTTGTTTACTCTCCAAGGCAGGGAGAATGGCTCCTGGTGCGTGATGGATTCTACTTCTGGCCCAGGGGCTCAGCAATTGCTGTAGCTGGTCTGGGACCCAGTGCAGAGCAGGGAGCACGGAGGTAAATGTGAGAGAGGCTTTCTCCCAAGGGGGTTATTCTTGATCAGCGCGGTGGACCGTACGCAATTACTTATCTTTCGCTGGATTGAGGGCTGCTTCTTACAGGTGTTGGGTGTCGAGTAGACTCTCTGGTGCTGAGTCTCTCCTGGTGTGGAAAATGCACCTCCCAAGCACTGCCACTTGCCTGCCTCACCAGGTCAGGTCTGGAAACTCCTTGCTGCTTCCGAACTGTCTCTCCCTCCCGCTGCCACTCAGTCCAGTTCCTCAACTCTGCCTTTGATGTTCAGGGCTCCCAGATTGCCAAATAAAATCGATTCACTTGTTTTTTCAGGTCTTTGTTGTAAGAGGGTTCACCGGAAGTGTCTGACTACTCTGCCATCATGGCCCTGCCACCCCCTCCCCCATTATTTCAATGTGTCTCTGAAATAGCGGGAAGAGTTCTACCCCCATGCTTGTGTACAGGGTAATGTACATACATTCATAGAGCCCAGCACCACCTGGCATGTAGGGTAAGTTCATTTCGGCGCTTTCATAACCAGCTTTAGGACACACACTTAAGTTCTCCAGTAGTGTTGCTTATAGTAGAGTTTAGTAGGAGAATGAATGTTGGCTTTTGAATCTTGTTTCTGCCCCTTAATAACGTATCTTTCAGCAAGTTGCCTAGTTTTGTCTAACCCCTGAAAAATGAGGATAATACCATTTCCCCCACAGTGTAGATGAAGAGATTATGGAAGCCTGGCAGGTTGCACAGTTCCTGGCCTGTAGAAGAGGCTAGAGAGCCAGTCAGCTTTATTATCTGTGGTAATGCTTTTGTTCTGTACAACGGGAACATGGAAGACAGATTCCCTTTCAATTGTCACCTCCTCCAAAGTCTCTCTCAGACCCCTCACCTTTGTTTTGTGATGTTAACAATTCCCTGAAAATGGTAAAATAGCTCTGACATGGAAAAAGTTTTGTGGTAAAGAGAATTGGATTTTTTGCCTAAAGACCATTATCCAAATTCTTTCTTTGTCAATTATTGGCTATGTGACCTTCCAAAAGTCACAACTTCTTTGAGCCTTGGGACACTTGGGGGCAATATAATCAACTTCATAGGGTTGTGCTAAGGATTAAATGAGATGTTTGATAGAGTGCCTCATAAAGCATTATGCATTATAAAGGTATCATGTGTTCATTACAGCATTGCATCCTCTATCCCCTCTCCCTAATTTTTTTTTTATGCTATATATATTTCATCTACAAATGTACACCACCCTTCTATCTCACAATTAATGTGTGATTTTCCATAGTTATTTGAAAACTGTGGTTGAGCGTTATAAAATTAATCTCTACCCTAGCTTGGACAGAGGCCTGATTGCATAATGGTTAAGCACTAGGCAGTTAACAGAAAGGTTGGCAGTTTGAACTTTCTCTCTGTGAGAGAAAGACCTGTCGATCTGCTTCTGTGAAAATTACAGCCTACAAAACTCTATGGGGCAGTTCCACTCTGTCACATCGGGCCACTGAGTCAGAATCGACTTGGTGGCACCTAACAACAACTAGCTTGGAAAGGAGAAAAATGGGCATGGATTCTACCCAGTTTGAGGGCCTAATCTATCAGCTTTCCAGGGAAAACTTCTGCAAGATGATCAATTGTACATTAGGAAATCTAATGAGTTTTCAGTTTGAGTAGCAAAGAAATAAAAAAGCTGAAGCTACAAAAATAGGGCCAAGTCTTTTCCCCAAGACGGTCCCTCTCTTCTTATCCACACCACACCCAGGTTTCCTGGCCCATCCAGGTAATGGCAAAGGCCCATAGGTTCATGGCCACTGGGAGCTGTGGAAGCCTTTCCTCCCATCCTTCTGAGGTGATGCTCTGGCAGGGAGTTCTTGTAGATGCAAGGAAGGGCTGGCTCTCTGGAAAGACTGGGAGCATTTTCTCTGGACCAAAGGAAAGGGCTCTAGCATAGTACTGAAGAGTTATAATTTGGGCTAAAGAAATGTAGGTGTCAAAGGAGCTGGGGACGTCAAGGAAATTGGTTCCAGACCTGACTGTTAACAAATGCTAAAAGCCCTTAGAGAAAACTCCTTGTTCTAATGCTTTGGGACCCAGAGCCACCATATTACACAACTCCAGGGGCACTATTTACAGTGTGCTTTATGATGTACTATAGGGGGCACCATTCATCTAGAATACAATGTAAGTTGTGCAACAGGGCTTTGCTGGGACCGAATCCTTCAAGGGCCACATTTCTAGTCACTAACAAAATCTTGGTTCTTACTGTACTTTTCTCCTTACAATGTACTGATTTCAATCACAAACAAACCAGACAAACAAGTAAAACATTTTTAAGCCTCGGCCAAAATGTCAGGAGGGATATTGGGTAATACAAGGAACCCTCTTGGCACAATGGTTAAGCATTCAGCTGCTAACCAGAAGGTTGGTGGTTCAAATCCACCCAGCAGCTCTGCAGGAGAAAGACTTGTCTATCTGCTTCTGTAAAGATAACAGCCAAGAAAACCCTATGGGGCAGCTCTACTTTGTCACACGAGGTCACTGTGAGTTGGAATCGACTCAGTGGTACCCAACAACAACAGTGGGTAATATAATGTTTCCAGATGTGCACCATTTAAAATTCCTAAGTGTGCAGTGGATAATGTATTTATGAGAAAAGCTTAAAATTCATTGATGATAACTTTTTTCCCCACTTAATTTGGGTATAATAATTCCCAGAATTTGTTAATCCAAAAGAGTCTCAGTAAAAATATAAGAGAATAGAAAATTGTACTTTACTTTTAAATAGATTCCAAAGTCATCTCTCTGCCTCAGGCTCTCAAGATAAAAGACAGCAGCTGTGTAATTCAGGCAGTAGGTCTGGTGGCTCTGACAGAGGCTTCCTCGGAAATGCTGTGTGAGAAGAGCAGAAAGGGAATCAATAGAAGCAGGAAAGCACTAACCTCTAACAGACTTTCTCTTTCTTGTCACTTCTATCATTAACCAGAACAGGGAAAAGTAGAGAGCATTGTCAAGCAGATGTGACTGTGTGGATACAAACAGTGTTCTCATAAAGAACATGTAATCTCTACCATAAACATTCGTTTAAAAAACCCACGATATTCTCAAACAGCTGACTCATCAGTAAATAATCTTTTTTCTATGGTGTTGTTGTGTGCTGTCAAGTCGATTCTGACTCATAGAGACCCTCTAGGACAGAGTAGAATGGCCCTATAGGGTTTCCAAGGCTGTAATCTTAGCAGAAGCAGACTGCCACATCTTTCTCCTGTGGAGCTTCAGGTGGGTTCAAACTGCTTACCTATCGATTAGCAGCCAAGTGCTTAATCACTGCATCACCAGGGCTTCTTCTTCTTCTTTTTTTTTTCTTTACGTAAAGAAAATTCTAAAGGAGCCCTGGTGGTACAATGGTTAAGCACCTGGTTGCTAACCAAAAGGTCAGTGATTCGAACCCCCCAGCTGCCCTGAGGGAGAAAGACATACAGTCTGCTTCAGTAAAGGTTAAAGCCTTGGAAACCCTATGGAGGTAGATCTACTTTGTCCTATAGGGTTGCTATGAGTTGGAATCGACTCAACTGCAATGGATTTGGTTTTTGTTTTTTTTAAAGAAAATTTTATTTGGGACATCTTGATTTAATTCACCCTTTACTTCTGTTTATGCTTTGGTGAGGGCTACATACCCTGGATGGCACCTAATAACACATACTACCTTCAATTCTGGTGTCCGTGTTGGTTGATGTTAAACTTGTGTTGGCAGTAAATGATTAAAATAACAACATTCAACTTTTCAACAAATATTCCTCAAACATATCCATAAATTTAATTCTCCTACTGGCTTCTAAAAATGTAGAGTCAAATTTGGGGCACCTCTACTAAGTGTGGAGCCCTGGTGGCACAGTGGTTAAGATCTACAGCTGCAAACCAAAAGGTTGGCAGTTTGAATCTGCCAGCAGCTCCTTGGAAACCTGATGGAGTTTCCTACTCTGTCCTATAGAGTCACTATGAGTTGGAATTGACTCAATGGCAATGGGTTTTCTTTTTTTTTTTTTTTTTTGGTCTATACTGTATTTAATAGCATGCATTTTTGCATAGTAGTCTTATCCAATTTTCCCTTTTCTTCATTATTCTTATTTAATACCTTAAACCTACTATAATGCCTTACTTCCCCAGGAAACATTTTCTACTCATAATTCCTCCCATGTCCCAACCTAGAAGGTTTCCTATGCTGAACACTCGTAATACCCATGTTCCTCCCCCCTGCTCCAGTATTTGTCTCAGTTTAATTATGTAATCATTAGTGCCATTATGAGATTAATTTCTTCCCCACCAGACTGAAAATTCTCTAAGAGCAGGGGATGCACATTATGGCGTACAGGGTGTATTGTGTAGCCCTATATAAAGTACTTAGTAAGTACTCAATAAATTTCAATTTTTTTTTCCATTATGGATTGTAAGAATTCAAGTCTTGCTGAATGTGAAAAGACGAAGATTGGATTGAAAAGTTCAACGTAAAAAAAAAAAAAAGTTGAGGTAGGTGTTCAAATATCTACTCAAGAAATGGATAACTTTTACCAAACCAGGAATACAAGTTTTCCTTTTTTCTTGGTGTTCCACACACAGAGTATTATTAAGGGTGTTGATGAATTTGAAGGTTTATTTTGTTCCTTTCTGAGAGACTGGCACTTTTGTTAGAAGAACAACTGAACCATGTAATTAGCATACGCTAAACTATTGCCATGAATATTGCTTTAAATTGAAGTCATTTAAAAAACGGACTTGGAAATGTATTTCCCATGCATGCAGATTTTTTTGTGTTAATAAAACCTACACAGGCAATGTGACAATGGGAAAAACAGAATCTGAAAGTTATTTTGGAAAATGTTGATTAGCAAGGAAAGGAATAGTTCCTCTGTGGGAGGGTAGCAATGAAACTTTTCCTGGAACAAAAACTCAAGTAGATATAAACAATTTTCCAGGGAGGTGGGTGAATTTACTTGATGAAATTGAGATCTCCTGGAAGGATTTTACCTTCATGAGCACGGAAATGAAATCCATTGATGGTGCATTCTCAGAAGTGTCTACATAGTCCTTGATGATGTCGAAAAGACTGTTCACAAAACCAAAGCTTGTCTAGGGCCAGAGAAAAAGAAACCAAGAGTACAGCACACACCCAGGGTTGAAGAATAAACATTTGATGGACTTGAACTATCATCCTTACAGGTGTTTTCCATTTCAGATTTACCTCCTAGCAAAATTTAATATTTATTTTTCTCCACTCTCCAATATATTTATATATTCTTGTTATCTCTGTTCCATTTATTTTTAGAGGGATGATCTTATTTATTTCTAATGTATGTGAGAAAAGGACATTCACTGGAGAATAAACATTTATGATGGTGATGGAGATTTTAGGAATATGTCTACTTTCTTAAACAGTAATGGGAAAATGGAAAGTATTACCAAAGGGTAACTAATATTTGGCATCTATTGGAAAGATGACGAAGGATTTTGACTTCTTTTTTATTAACCTGAATTTCTGACCAAAACATTACATGGGATGGAATATGGAATAAACCATATTCAACATGCCAATATGGATGGAATACAAGTCACAGGAATAGACCAAGCATGAGCTTTCATGATCCTCTGATGAATTTTAAAACATGGCTACAGGCATCTGCCTTCTTTGGCTTACCTGACTTAACTCCTCCAGGTTTGCAAAAAGTCTCCATAAGTCCACATCCAGGAGGTACTCGTGAGTTTGTAGATATTTTAGTGTATTCATAAAGATCTTTAAAAAAAAATGCATGTTACTTCCTGCTTTTTAATTTTGAAACTTGCCCTTTGAAGGAACGTCAAACACAAATCTCCTGTGTATAACTTTACAAAACAATCTAGAAATCAGTATTCTCATGGTTGTAAGAGTTTTGCTAAAACAAACAATGACATTTAAACTTCATAGAACATATTGGAAGTATGCTCTGCAGTGGGAAGTTATTGTTGCTTATGTGAAGCTTAACAACATTCTTGTTGAAAAATAATCTACCCATATGGGCTCTTTCTGTACACAGCACCAAAGAAATCTCATAGTTTCTCTTCTGGCTGACAACACTAACTTGATAGCAAATCAGCATTCACTCTGTGTTCTCATTTATTTCTTCCTCTTCAAAAGAACCAAATGTTCTCTACCTTCAGGGAATTAAAAGTAGAGAATTAATGAATTAATATATGATTATTAGTAAAATGTTTAGATTTGGACAAAGACAAATATTAATAAAAACAAGAGAATATTTATGTTATTATTTAAATTTGATTTGCGGCTTTCACAATGGAAGAACTACTTTACAGCAAGTTAAGAAGGAAGAACTACAATCCTCACAAATAACCTTCCCCTCTTTCTAGAAAGTAGAGCAGATCAATTTATTGAAATAGGAAGGCTTTGCATATTTATGACAGGAAGCATTCAAAGGGACCAATTATTTTAAGAATTTTAGGTGTGAAAAGACTGGTCTATAGATCACTAACCTCTAATTTTTATTTCCCTATGATTTACTTAGTGTAGTGCTTCTTGAACTTGCATCAGAATCACCTGGAGGCCTTGTTAAGCCAGGGTTGCTGGGTCCCTCATGTAGTAGTTCTATATTGCTAGAGTTTCGGGTTTAGTGGAGCCCTGGTGCCATAGTGGTTGAGAGCTCAGCTGCTAACCGAAAGGTCAGCAGTTTGAATCTACCTTGGAAACTCCATAGGGCAGTTCCAGCCTGTCCTATAGGGTCACTATGAGCCAGAATAGACTTGATGGCAACGGGTTTGGGTTTTGGTTTCTGATTTAGTATATCCATGATGGGGTCTGAGAATTTGCATTTCTAACAAGTTCCCCAGTGATCCTGATGTTACTGATCTAGGGATCACACTTGGAGAACGACTTGGAGCTTCCCAAACCCATATATTATAGACTCTCTAGGAATTTGTCAGTATTCAAGCATTTAAAACATATAGTTATAAGAACTCATCACTATAGACAAACTGGTAAAATTTAGAAGTAAATATTTCTTTTGCATAAGATTCTTTGCTTTACAGAAAAGTTTGCCTTCTTTTAAATAAAGTCCTCCAGTATTTTATTTTATTTTATTTTTTACTGTTCAAGTCACATAAATTCAATTTACAAGCAACTTTGAGACAATCATATTGATTGTATAAAGGGAGGTACATATATACTTCAAATACACTGGCACATTTCAGAATAAGTAAATGCAGATTAAACTGAGAATGGTAGTTTGAAAAGCCTGTGCAGGTTATAGTGGAATAGAATGTTCTGCACTGTTTATTGGAGCGAAGGAGGCATTACAGCTCAGGGAGCTAGTGCTCTGTAGTGAACATTTATTGGCCACTTCCCAGCTTCAATACTCCCTTTCCCCTTCCAGCATCTTGGTTTTCATCTCAGTATCTACTCTTCCCCACAGACTGCATGGGAAGCAAACCTCACTCCCAGGGATGGGCCCTGATTGCCTTAAGCCATTCAGTACATTCCTTCTTCAGCCAGAGTAGTTGGTTCAAGGGTGGGCATGTGACCTAAGCCAGTCCCATCAAAATGAATCTCAAAACTTTTGCTATGAATGCTGAGAAGAGATCCTTTCTCTCTCTCTCTCAGTGCATGGAATCAAAGATGGTAGCTATTCTGTGACTACAAGGGAAGTCACTCATAGCATGAGGGTGATGCCATGGAAGGCAGAGATGAGAGACAGCAAGAAACTTTGCCTTCATTTTGAACTCCTTCATCAAACCAACATTGAATATTCTCCTACTTCTGTACTTCTGTACCTGGGCCAATAACATGTTTTATTATTTAAGTTAGTTTTCTGTTACTCGCTCCTGGAAGCATCCTAACTGCTACAGTCTCTAAGTTTCAACTTTCTCATAGAATATGAAATTTAAATTTTGCCGATAAAGTACTAAGCAGTGTGATTGACAATAAATATTACTTAAAGAAAATAATGACTGACATTGGTAAAGCACTTGATAGATTTCAAAGGTAACTAATTTGATTCTCACAATAACCTCACAAGGTAGCTGAGATGGCACCTGTCATCCCCGTTTTATAGCTTTGGACAGGGATTGTCAAATTACAGCCTGTGGGCAAAATCTGGTCAGCTGTTTTTGTAAATAAAGTTTTATGGGAACACAGCCACACACATTTGTTTACATATTGTCTCTGGCTGCTTTTGCACTGCAGTGTTAAAGCTGAGTAGTTGCAACAAAGATTGTATGGCCCACAAAGCCTAAAACATCTACTTTTTGGCCCTTTACAGAAAAACTATGCTGACCTCTGTTTTAGGATATGAAGGCCTAGACTTTCCTAAGGTCACACAGCAAATCAGAGACACATCCAGCACTTGAACTCAGGCCTCACAAGCATAATGCTTTTTCCCTGAGTAAGACAGTAACCAGGATTCAAAAGTGCTTATGGGTAGGGGCAAACCCAGGGCACCATTTTCTTAGAACACAACGTGAAAACACTGTGAATATACTACTTACTGTGAATCCACTCTATTACATGTGAAGGTAGCCCTGCAAATCTGCCCCTGTGCCCTCCAGCTGATAAAAGCATTAGCAAGAGCTCCAAAAGAGGAAGTTGTTCAAAAGTGAAATGGGCTGCCTTTAGGGCAGTTGTGAGCATCTTGACACGAGGAGTGTGTAAACAGAGGGTGAGAATAAGGCAAAAATGATGAGGACATCAGCTGGGGAATTGGATTAGTTCACTTAGAAGATCACATCCAGTTAGGAGAGGTTTACTCAAGAAACTAATGTAGAGACAATAAAGTGGTAAGTAAACAAAAACAATAAATAAAATTTTCTTAAAGATTCCCTAAAAGAAAGGGGGAGGGGCTTTTTTTTAAAGCATGGAAGAGGAAAACAAATCCCCAAGGGATCAAATGAATATTTTTTGTTTACTACAAAAATTAAACCAGTTATTACCATCTTAAGAACCAATAAATGGTCCAAAAAATAAGTGCATTCACTCGTGAAAAGTTCCCACATGGCCTCTTGCTGCCTTCTCAAGTCTAATTGATCAGTAGGAAGTTTTTGATGCGTTTCCATGACTTCAGTCCAGGTCTTATCCTGCACATGGGGAGAAAAATGGTGAGCAGAACACTTCCACCTCAATGGCCTGACCTGTTCACTATTTACTCTGGCTTGTGAACAGCAGGATCAAGCAATCCCCGAACTCATCATTTTCTTCTGCAGGTCCAGGGTACCCCTCTTTGCTTCTCAAATGACCCAAACACAGCTTCTCTGTGAGTGACTTTGGGAAGCCAATACCCTCCCCAATGCAAAGCACGGCAATGTGTGATACATGTTGTTTTTGGTTTAAAATGAAAAGGAATTAAAATTGATGTTGTTTTAAAAAAATAGGGACAACGCTAGGGGCCCTAATACATGGCATAAATTCAATACAAACCATAACTAATAATTTACAAACACTAGAAGGTAAACTAGGTAAGTGGGAGCTCTTAAAAATTAAACACTTATGCTCATCAAAAGACTTTACCAAAAGAGTAAAAAGAGAACCTACAGACTGGGAAAAAATTTTTGGCTATGACATATCTGACAAGGGTCTAATCTCTAAAATCTATAGAATACCTCAACAAAATTGATGTTGTTTTAAGTTATGATTGAGAATTTGAGTCCTTTTCAGTTTATTACAAAAAATTCTCAAAAAACCACAAACCCTGAAAGAAGCCAGTCTGAAAATGCTACATACTGCATGATTCCAAGTGTATAACCATATGGAAAAGGCAAAACTATAGAGACAGGGAAAAGATCAGTAGTTCTTCAAGAGGAGGTGGGGAAGGATGCATAGGTAAAACACAGGGCATTTGAAAGGCAGTGAAACTTTTCTGCATGATACTATGATAGTGGTTATATGATATTATGGGGCCCTGGTAAAGCAGTGGTTAAGAGCTATGGCTGCTAACCAAAAGGTCAGCAGTTCGAATCCACCAGTCACTCCTTAGAAAGTCTATGGGGCAGTTCTACTCTGTCCTCGAGGGTCCCTATGAGCTGGAATCAACTCGACAGCAACAGGTATTTAACATTATGCATTTGTCAAAACTTATAGAACTGTACAATATAAAGAGTGGACCATAATACAAATTAGGGACTTTAGCTAATAATAATGCATCAATATTGGCTCATCAATTGTAACAACTGTACCACACTAATGCAAGATGTTAATAATAGGAGAAACGGTGTGCAGGGGGAGAGGGTGTACTTGGCAACTCTGTCTACTTTCTGTGCAATTTTTCTGTAAACCTAAAACTGCTCTAAAAAATAACATGTATTAAAAAAAAAAAAAAAAAAAAAACCAAACAGAACCATTAAAAAAAGAACCCTAAACCCCAAACTGGGAGTTCTGATTTCAGGTTTCACTGGCAAAGCTTGTTGAAATCAACTACTGAAGAATTACGAAATAAGAATTTTAGAGCTTAAAGAGATCTTTAGAAATTGTGCTAGCAAAAGCAACTTAATTTTCAGATGAGGATAGCTGAGGGCCAGAGAGTGAATGGGAATAACATTTGCATAGGGCTTTACAGTATACAAAGCACTCCCATCTCCATCATCTTGTTTCAGGTAAAACGGCTTTCCAGAGATTACAAAGTGCATTGGAGCAGGGCAGATCCTGTCCCTCCCAGCCCTGGTTCTTCCTCCCGCACTTTGCTGTCCTTTGAACAAGGTAATAATTTGACAATTTTAAAATAACGGCTAAAAAATAAAAAGCCATGATGCACTGTAAACAATTTATGAGATACCTTAAGGTTGTGGAACTCATATTCCCTGAAGTCTGTAATCTTCACAGAGGAAAGGCAGTTTTCCAGGTCAGATATGTGCTTGAGTTTGTCCTTGCCCTGCTCAAAGATTGTTAGAAACAGGATTTACAAGCATGAATTCTTTAAGGACACAACTTTGCTAGCCTCAGCATCTTTGGTTCATTCTCAAACATTCATGAGGACACACTACATATTTTGTCTTTAAACCATTCACAGTTTCAAAACCATTTCCGAGCAGTAGTCTGAGCCAGCAGTTAATCAGTTGCTGTCGCGTTAACTCTGACTCATGGTGCCCCCACGTGTGTCAGAGTAGAACTGTGCTCCATAAAGTTTTCAATGGCTGATTTTTTGGAAGCAGATAGCCAGACCTTTCTTTTGAGATGCTTCTGGGTGGACTCAAATCTCTAACCTTTTGGTTAGCAGCCAAGCACATTAACCATTTTCACCACCAAGGGACCCACAGAATCATAGAAATGTCAGGCCTGGAGGAGAGAGCCCAGTGCCTGTCTAAACTTCTCATTTTACTAATGAAAATAAATAAATAAATAAATAAGAGCAAGGCATGGAATGGTTCTGAAGCAAATAGATGGACTCTAAGTCAAGTCTTACCCAATACAATGACACAAACTCCTTCATGATTTTAATTTTCTGAATTCTGGATCATGGGACTTTAGCATCAACAGATGCCTCAGTTCAAGCCTTCATTTAGCAGGTGACTAAGTAAAGTCCAGAGTATTAACGGAACTTGCCCAATACAATAATTCTGTGCTAAAGAATACCAGAATATGCTAGAAACTCTAGTTTCCTTAGACTGGAACCACTCACTTATTATTGTTACAATGTTTAATAATCAGATTACAAAGGTAATACATGATTATTGCAGAAAAGTTGGGAAACAAAGAAAAATCCAAAGAAAACAAGAACTACCCACAATCCTCACCCCTAGATTACCACTGAAAACATTCTTTTCTGAACATATGCATAATTAATTTTTAAATGTGTCATATATACACATCTTTTTGTAATCTGCTTTTTTCATTTACTATATCGTGAACATTTTTTTTGCCTCATTCAATACTCTGTCACAATATCAAGAATTACCCATGTAAAGAGTTTATTTTATCTACTGAACCAGGAAGAAGCTGTCAAATAACAATGTATGAGGCTTCATAAAGTCAACTTGGCCGTATTTCAAATGCATGTTTATCAGAAATAATTTTTTACTCATTCTAGTGCTTCATGGTTAATGATGCTGGCATAGATCTAAGCTGTTTGGTAGAAGTTAATCAACTTTTATGTTAATGGAAAAGAGAAGGCACCGGTTATCTACTGTTGTGAGTAGGGGGCTGCCTGTGTGTCTGAAAGGAGACCCCATGACAGTTTCAGAATGTGCTAGAGGGAGCAACAGTGCTGTGGCTGCTTTTTCTGGTAGGGTGATGGCCCTGGAAGAGGAAACCTATTGTAAACTCACTAGTTTCCACAGTAGCAAAGGAATCTTGGAGCCCGTTGGGGACCTCCTACAGCAGTTGGGGCATATGCCTCTTGTTGATGTCTGAAACTATAGTGACTGCATGTTGTGGAAATAAAAAAATCAGCTGCAAGTTGGAAAAAAAACAGGAGGAGACAATGGAAGCAGCGTTGGAGTTGGGGAAAGTGGGCACCAGTCTCGTATCTGGAACGGCAGGCACTGTGGCTTTCTGTGTGTTTGACCAGCCTCCTGGCCAAAGCCTTTGTGGAGCTCCCAGTAAGAAGGGAGGAGACATTCCTCTAGAAGGCCACATTAACTCTTTAAGTCACAGGTGCATTTAGTGTCTCGTTCCTTCACTAGGGTGGCATAGGTTAGGAGAAGAGAAGGGAAACATTTAAAGGGTATTTGAGAGGATATTGGGGCAAAGAAAAGTGATAAACTAAGGTTTATTCCGGGGTCTCAAATTAACTAAGGGGTGGGTGGAATGGAAATTTGTGGTAGGCAATGGTGACATGGAACTGGAGTGTAATTGAAGGTTAAGGCTGAATATACACGTTTTGGAGTGATTGACAGAGAGATGACATTGCCTATATGAGGACAGACCAGATCTTTGTGAGCTCTGATGATAAAGAGTGAAGAGTGTTCAGGTCTGGTTATGGGGAGCCTCAGAGTTGGAGGAGCAGTGCTGTGTCATGACTAAAACAGACTCAGAGCCAGACTGCTTGGGTCTGTAGGGGCGAATTGTTGCTTATGAGCTGTGTGATCTCGGGCAAGCTACTCAACCTCTCTGAACTACAGTTTCCCCAGCTATAAAATGTGGATAATAACGTTACCTACCTTGTTGAGTTGTGATAATAAATGAGTTAACATACGTAAATTATGACACACATAAACAGGAGCACATGTAAATACAAAATGTGCCTGGCAACGTGATAAACATGACACACATGTTTGCTTTTATTACTAATATTGTTATTGGTGCTTGGGGAGGAAGGAAGGGATGGAGGGACCGAGTGAGCTAGCGAGGGAGCGAGCAAGGAAGGAAGCAGAAGAAAAATCTGTAATAGGTTGGGAAAATACATTACAACTTCGTAATGTGTTTATTATATTGGTGTGGAATTGTCACTTATATAGATAAGAATTACTGGTAATTCAGGCCAAGAGGATGAAGGAAAGAAGTAGAGGCATTGATTTTAAGGGGAACAGATGTCACGTCCTTGTGAAAATGAGTCTTAAAAGAGTAGATTTACCTTCTTAAGGTTGCTGAAAACATCTTGTCATTCCACTAATTATTCTGTCTTTGTGCATCTCCACGACTGCCCTTCCAACACTGTGCATGCCATTTTGCACATTTTTGCCCCCAGTTTATAGATTGGTCCCACCTTCTCAACTGTGAGCTGGTAATGGACATCTTGGTATACTGGGTGTCTAGTCCAGTGCGTGATACATACAGACAATCCACACTTGTATGGGGAACAAGTTACTTCTTTACAGGGAGAAAATGGATGGATTGTTACAACTTGTAGGAGTATCCCTTTCTAGTTAAGCACTTCCCTTCTGAAAGCACATCCTGTCTCCCCAGTGGCCCTTAGAAGTTCCCTGCTCTGGAGAAGCTTGTGGAGGGCCCTCTTCTCCAGGGTCTTCATACCAGATGAGTGACTGGCACTGCATCATTTATATGAGGAAGAACACAGGAAAGGCTGCATGATAGACCCCATCTCAGACCTGTCTGGAAAATAGCCAAAGAATGTCCCGAAAGAGCAGCAAAGTGAGAATGACTGAAGATCACCAGCATTAGGTCATAATTTTATGAACAGTTTACGGTTTGCAGCTTGTAATGTTTAGAGCGTGTCCCATATAAACATTTTGTTCTTGCAAAAATAATGTGAAAGTCACTCAAATACATGGTTATGAGAACAAATTGTTTTTCAAATCCTAATTAAGAAAAATCCTAAAAATAACTGTGGTTGGTATGGATTGAGTGCTTTTGATGTGTCAATATCTGGAGTAAGTTCCACATGTATTACCTTATTTACTCCTCACAACCACTCTATGAGGGTAGCTCTATTTTCATCTGCCTTTATAGAGAAGGAACTCGAAGGTGAGGGACGTGAACTCTTTTCGCCAAGGTTGCACAGCAGTAAGTGGAGCAATTAGAATTGGAGCCTCAGGGGACCTTTAATTTAGCTATAGAAGGGTCAGTG